TTTCAAGAAATGAGCCAAACCAATGGAGAACAACTATATAATTAAACTCTCTAAAAGTCTAAAATTATTCAGTTTGCACATCCCAAGCTTTGTGTTATTTGGAAATTCAATCTCTTCAAAAATCTGCACAGAATCTGGTCTCTCGCAATCTTCACTGTAAAAATAACAGTATCAGTTGAGGACTGATCAGCTGAGCCATCCTGCCAATATTGAATCTGACACCAGGCAGTGGTCTGTGTGTGTGTCTCTGGAGATATAGTATAGTTGACTGGAAAGCTCAATCAATATGAGAAAACAGGCTTGATTTTCACTGGAATTTCATACAAGTGCTACACAGGAACTTTTCCTCGCCCGTGTCTCACTGCTAAATCGATTGTGACGGCATATTATAAATCTAGCAATTTTGTAACAGCGGCCCCAGAAAGCTTCGTCATGCATTCATATAGGAGGTTTTGTGTTTTCAGCAGAATCTTTGAATTCGTCTCCCGCAGACAGGTAAGCAATATTTCTAAACTGAGTAGTGAGGACAAATGCATCATTTACATACGGAGCTATCTCAGCCACTGACACAAAGGCACCTTTATGCAACTTTGTGGAAAGGTTTGGGAGGGGAAAAAAAAGAGTTTGGAGCGGGAGGAGAAGATTACAATATCAAGCTGAACTGTCAGCATGCTGATCTTCCAAATGTCAAACAATACATATTCATCTGTTTGGCCAGCCACAGGAAAAAGACAGCGTGCTAGGAGAAGTCCAAACAGAGATGGCTGACATTTCAGCATTCAAGAGACTGACAGCTGCACATAAACAGCATGCAAATACACACACACACACACACACACACACACTCAGAAAGAGCCACACACACTCGGCATCTTGCAGTGATTTTAGTTGGTAGATGTTAAAGCTGGATGCTAAACGAGTGTCTCTCAATGCCAAAAATCAAGCTTGACAGATGATGCCTGATCATTCACTTGCTTGTGGGTAATGCCACCTGTATAGTCTTTATTCCTGAACCTATGCACAACATTCACACAGAGGGGCCTATCTTGCCGATCTGAAACGCAAGTGTCAAACGCAAAACGCAAGTAGCTTTGTGGGCGGATCTCGGGCGCTGTTGCTATTATGCCAGTGG